GCCCCCTGAGCGACACCCTCTGCCGGGCCGGGCCGGGCCGGGCCGGGCGGGCTGAGGTCCCTGGAAGTGCTCTTGCTGACCCTGTGGTGTGCTGTGCGGGGCTTCCTTCCCCCGTGGACCGCGTCATGCCCACGCTGGGGCCCGTGGCGAGTTCACGGTTATCTTGCTTTATGATCTTGGTTCTTGGTGGGGTTTTTGTATCGACCAAAGCAAAGGAAATAAAAATCACACTCAGAGTCGAGGAGGCTTCAGGGGTATGGGTTGGGAAGGAGCTGAGATGTGGGTGCAGGGTCAGCGTCGCCAGCGGAGGTGACTCAGAAACCCAGGGCCAGAAACACCCAGGGGTCGTGGACCGGGAAGAGCACAGTTGGTAAAGTTGTGGGCTGGAACCAGGCCATGGGGGCCCACGCCTGTCATCCCTGCACTCTGGGAGGCTGAGGCAGGAGGGTGGCAGGTTTGAGCCCAGCCTGGGCCCCTCAGTGACTTGGCCAGAGCCTAGAAAAGGCACATAGGAGCCTCTGGCTCTGTCCCCTGGGCTGTGTTGGCAGGAATCGCAAAGCTGAGCGAGGCAACACTGCCCCCACACGTCTAGCTTGGGTTCTCTGAAAGTTTTCAGGACCCTGGCTGAGGAAAGGGGAGGGTTTTATTTGAAGAAACTTAGGTATACGTGCAAAGAAACAGAGCGCAGGCTCTCCAGGCTCCTTACTGCCTGAAACAGGGAACGTTTGTACTTGTTGAGGGTGTGGGAACCCCAGGAAAGGGCTCAGCCCACAGAAGGATGGAGCCCGTTTATTGATTTTTCTTTTGAGACAGGGTTTCGCTGTGCAGCCCAGGCTGGCCTTGAACTCCCAGTGATCCTCCTGCCTCAGCCTCCCAAGTGCTGGGATCACAGGTGTGGGGCCACCACACTGTTTATTTTTTTCTGTGAACCAGTCTTGCTGAGTCCCCATGTTGCCCAGGCTGGTCTGGAACTTGGGATCTTTCTGCCTCAGCCTCCCAAATGCTGGGATTACTGGTGTGCATTACAGCACCCCTGCTCTTTTAACTTCTGAGGCTGAGGAAGGGCCAGCCTGGAGGTGCTGCCTGTGAACCCCGCCCCTTGGTGTGTGGAGCCTTCCCGGGGTCACCCGTCCTCTGGCCTAGGTCAGGACGGTCGCTCGGTCCTTCCCCGGTGACACCTGGCGTCTCCCTTGTCCTCCAGCCGGGCAGGGCATCCCTGCCGGTCCCCATCCTTGGGAGAAGGGCTGGGAACCTCACTTCTGCAGCACTGGAGATGCAGCCGGGGCCTGGCTGCACCCCCAGCCCTTTTCATTGTTACCTTCAGACAGGGTCTCAGTACGTTGCCCAGGCAGGCCTTGAACTTTCAGTCCTCCTGCTTCCGCCTCCTGAGTAGCTGGGGCCAGGGCTGTCACCGCCACACCTGCCCCCTTTCCTTCCCCAGTCTGGAGCTGGGCTGAGGTCTCTGCTGAGCAGGCCCCGCCCCTGCCATGCCCCCGGACAGCGAGGGGACCCTGCTGGGTCTGCAAAGCCAGAAGAGGAAGCGGGCAGAGCAGCCACAGGGGCCTCCCTGGCCGGCCGGACTCCTGCCTGGAGGCCCAGCAGCGGGAATAGAGACCTCACTTAGGACAGGCAAAACCAGACTGCACCTGTGATCCTCGCTGTAACGGAGGCTGAGGCAGGAGGTTCACGAGTTCGAGTCTTACCTCTCTCCCTACTTATAGCGCTACCTTTTACATTGCCTTTCACTTATACTTTGGGTCTATTGAAGCTCGTGCCTGTGATTTATCTCACTCAGCATAATGGTTTCAGAGTCCCGAGAGTATTTTTTTCATACCTCAGATGAAACACAGGAGACTCCAACTGCTGGACTCAAGGTATCCTCCTGCCAGGCTGGGGATTTAGCTCAGTTCCACCGCTTGCCTTGCACGCACAAGGACCAGAGTTTGATCTCTGGTACTGGGGAAAAAAAAAAGATACCCTCTTGCCTCAGCCTCCTGAGTGGCTGGGACTACAGGTGGGAACCACCGGCACTTGAGGAAGTGAGGAGAGGAAACTCGAGCCTTTGCCTCAGTGGCCCTGGAGGGTGTGGAGTCTTGGGGAGTTGGCTCGGGGACAGGGCTCTTGGGGCTCCTGTTCACTGCACCCTAGCCTTTAATTAATTAATTGTTTGGTACCGGGGATCCAACTTGGGTCCTTGTGCTTGCAAGGTAGGCAGTGGTCACTGAGCTAAATCCCCCCTGGCTCTTCAGCCTTTTTTAAAAATTTTGAGACAGGGCCTTTGCTGGGCTTGAACTTGGGAGCCTCCTGCCTCAGCCTCCTGAGAGCTGGGATGACAGGCATGCCCACTGCCCCAGGCTCTCACTCCACAAATACTTATTGGGTGCCTAATATGGGTCCCCAAAATCCAAAGTGAGCACCCCGGGCACTGCCAGGTGAAGACTGAAGGACCCTGGAGCTGGGGGCTGGGCACGGGGTGTCCCTGAGAATGTGAGCGTGACACAACCAGACATGGACCAAGAGAAATCAAGAGTGACTAAAGAGGGCTGGGATTCAGCTCATTTCAAAGACCTTGATTCCGGTCCTCAGTGTGACAGCAGAGAAATGAAGTTTAAAATAAGGGGCCCTTGGAAGCCCCTTCTTTGCCGCTGCTGTGAGCCTTGTGGCTGCTGGGGTCGCTGACTTTGGGATTGGCTGGGTTGGGGCGGCCTCGCCATGGCCAGGGGGCTCTGGGTCACAACACCCCCCCCAGCATCCCCATAGGCCTAGTGCCCACAAAACCCCAGGGGAGCCCTCCAGACCTGAATGGAACCTGGATGTGGGTCCCTGTGACAGGGCCTCTTGTCTGTTTATTTTGTGGTCCTAGGGTGCAACCCAGGGCCTTGCACGAGCAGGGCAGGCTCCACCCCCAGCCACACTCCAGCCCTTACTTGATTTTGAATCTGGGTTTTGCTAAGCTGCCCAGGCTGGCTATGGATTTGTGGCCCTCCTGCCTCAGTCTCCCGAGTAGCTGAGGATTGAACCCACGGATGCTTTAACACAGAGCTGCATCCTCAGGTCTATTTTTAGTTTTTATTTTGAGACAGGGTCTCCCTATGCAGCCCAGGCTGGCCTCTAACTTCTGGGGACCCTCCTGCTTCAGCTTCCTGAGTGCTGGTGTTACAGGGGTGCACTGCCATGTCTGCCTAGGACTGACCCTTTGTGAAAGGGCAGATAATTAATCCCTGGGCATGGATAGGGGTTGGCGGGGTGCAGGCCAAGGACGTGAGTTGGTCCAGGGTTCAGCTGCCCAGTACCAGTTCCCTACTGTGTCTCAGAACATCAGAAGTGTGTGGGATCTCGCACCTGTGGGTGAGGGTGCCCCAGGGGGCTTTGCTAGGTGTGCTAGTGCATGGTGTGTGAAGGGCTGAGAGAGGTGGGTGGAGGAGGAATATTTAAGAGAGAAATTTGGCAGGGCATGGCTGGGCATACATGATCCCAGGCCTCTGGGAGGCTGAGGCAGGAGGATCTCAAATTCCAGCCCAGCCTGGGCAACTCAGTGACGAATGGAGACCCTGGCTCCAAATAAAAAATGAAAAAGAAAAGAAGCTAGGCTGTAGTTGGGAACTGGGGCTCTGGGTTCCATCCCGGGATGGGGTGAGGGAGGAGACTCTGCAGAGGTTAGAGGCGGGGATTGGGAAGGGATGTGGGAGACAGTGGCCAGCCCTGCGTTCCTTCCTCCTCCTGGACTCTGTGCCCCGCCGCAGCCCAAAGCTGCCCCACGGTCAGAGGCCCGCCCTGAGGGGGGGAGAGGTGTGTCCACATCCACCCGATAAACGTCCCCTGCAAGGCCGCCAAGCCTGCACCCTGCCTGCCTGCCACTGCCCCCGAAGTCCAAGGCTTTGCTTCCCAGGAGCCCTGGCCTCACCCCCTTCAGGGACGGGTGCCGAGCCACCGCCGTGGGCCTGGGTCATGCAATGCACAGTGGACAAAGTCCAGGGGAGGAGGCCTGCGGTCACCAGGCCGAGCACATTCCAGGGAGGCTGAGTTGGGAGCGTCTCCCCAAGAGCACCTTCTGGCCTGTGTCATTGTGTAGCCCAGGCTGGCCTCGGATTCACAGCGGTCCTCCTGCGCTTCGTGTCGTTTGTTGAAGCCAAGGAACACACCTGGATCCTGGGCCACGCGTGTGTGCGAGGTGCGTGAGTCCACGGACACTTGCTGCACACCGTCCATCTGATCTGTTTGGGTTTTTTTGTTGTTTTTGGTACCGGGGACCAAATCAGGACCTTGTGCTTATGAGGCAGGCGGTGGTCCCACTGAGCTAAATACCCAGCCCCATCTGATCCGTGTTTACTGGGCCCCAGGAAGGGGAGCGGGGTGCTGGCACCGCGTCAGGCTGGGGAGGAGCGGAGTGAGCGGCAGAGCCGGCAGCAACGGGGACAGGGCGAGGGTGGCTGGCACAGGAGGGCGCTGGACCAAGGCCCGGGCGCTGGGAGAGGCGGGGCGCCTGGAGTGGAGCGGCCACACGGGACACCAGGGCACAGGGAGCCTGGTGTCTTCTGAGAGGGCAAAGAGGGGCCAGGAGTGCGTAGGTGCCCGGGAGGACGTGCTGGGTCAGCATTCCCAGCTCTGGCCGGCATCGAGCTTTTATTCTGAGTGTGCGGGGAAGGCTTGGCATTTAGATTTTTAAAAATTTGCTTTTAGTTGGAAATGGAGGTGCATGCCCATCATCCCAGCACTCTGGGAGGCTGAGGCAGGAGGATCACAAATTCAAGCTTTGCCTGGGCAGCTTAGCAAGACCCTGCCTTGGAGTAAAAAGTAAGAGTAGGCTCGGGACGCGCTCTGACCGCTCACCGTGGCTGTGGCCCCAGCAGGTGGGTTTCTGCCCACACTGGGGCCCGGGGAGGGATTTGCCCCGTCCTTGCCTTGGGGCACTGAACCTGGCCACCCCGGTCCAGCCCTCCCCTCCCAGGCAGTGACACAGTTGGTCTCATGACCACAGAGGAGTTTATTTGGATTTGTGTCCCTTGGCACAAGGCTGGGCTGTCCTGAAGCTGGGCTAGGGGCGCCGGCCGGGGTCCTCAGCACTGCGGCGGCCGAAGTCCATCCACCCGTAGGCCGCCTCCTCTTCCTCTGCCCATGGCCCCTGCTTCTTGGACAGGTCTAGGGGGTGACAGACAGGAGGTGACGTGTGGGGGACGCCAGCACAGGCACCGGGTCACGGCCAGCGTGGGGACCTACCCAGCCCTCCAGACGTGGCCAGTGGCTCCTACCTGCCATAGGGTGTGGGGGCCCCGGGGGCCCCAGCTGTCTTCGCTGGGCCGATGCTGGGCCGGGTAGGTCCAGCCAGTGGGTCTCCACGCCCCTGCTGGTCGAGGGGCCCCAGGGTGCAGCCTGCTGCTGGGAGCGTGGCCTCCACGAGGCCTCAGAGGAGGCGGCCAGGGTCAGCATCAGGGCCAGAGAGCACGCGTACAGGTGGGGCATCGCGTCTGTGGGGAGAGGGGCTCCACGGTGACCGTCCCCACCTGGGCTCAGGAGCCTGGCCCCCCACAACCCCCTTGAAAGCCACTGCCTCAAGCACAAGGGTAGTTGGCCAGGCATAGCGGTGCGCAACTATAATCCTAGCACTTTGGGAAGCTGAGGCAGGAGGATCTCAAGTTTCAGCCCAACCTGGGCAACTTAGTGACCCAGGGAGACCCTGCCTCGGCTCAGTACAGTAACGTAGCTCCTGGGCCTCGCCCTGTCTCAGTGCCCTTGTGGCTCGTGACTACCGTGTGGGAAAGTTTGAGCTCTGGGACAGTGTGGTCATTGAGGAAAGTCCTCTGGGCTGTGCTGGTCTGGGAAAGGGCTGGAAATGGGTCCAGGGCGGGCCGAGAGCCGGTGCACGTCATGCCCAGGCTGGGGGGGGTCCCCGTCCGTCTCCCGCATCTCACCTGCAGAGCTGGACGGCTTGTGCTGTCGGGAGCCGGCTCTGCTGTGCCGTGGCCCAGGCGCCTTATAAAGCCCTCGAGGTCCCTCCCCAGCTCCATCCAGACGAACCCAGAGACCTCAGCCCTCCAGCGGGCTTGTTGGCAGCCAGTGCGGACCCGGGCCCTGTATTGATCCCCAGCTCTGCAAACAGGATAAGCGTGGTTATCAGGAGCAATGGGCCGTGGGCTGCCGGCGGCTCCTTTCCGCCTGGTCGCCCGGACCCCTGTCCTCCCCTCGCCAGGACGCCCGGGCTCCCGCTCCACTCTGCCCTCTGTGCCAGGCTGGGGTTCGCCCCTCTTCTCTGCTCCCTGACCTCCCGAGCCCATGGAGCACCTCACCTTCGGGGCTGCTTGTTTTTGCTTTCGAGGGGAGACGGGAAACAGCATTGCGTTGGAAACACGCCTCGGAGAAATGGTCAGCAAGCTGAGGACAGCATTCACCCAAGAGGCAGCAGGGTCAGGGCTGTGAGTTCGAGGCCAGCCTGGGCTACATGTGAGAGCCACGTGGTCTCAGAGAACCCCCAAATAAATAAACAAATACAAACAGGGGGAGAGGGGACCCAGGAGGCTCGGGTGCCTCACTGGCCTCCGATGAGCTCCCCCCGACATGGCTGGGACGGCAGCCCCGGCTGTCTTGCGTTTCCGGTGGGGACCTGACGGCTGCTGCTGGAATTTTGGTGCCCGTGGCTCTCAGCGGGGCCCACGCTGGCGCCAGCTTTGCCGAGGATGAGCCGGAGATGCAGGTTGCGTTTCCATGGTGACCAGCCGCAGCGGGCCAGTGGGTAGCACGCAATGGGGGCAGGGCGGGGGTCTCGGGAGGGAAAGCGCTGCTGTTGCCATGGTGATGGGGAGGAGCCAGGGTTTAAATCCTGCCCCCCCACGTGACCCCCGGGGGATCGGAAACTCCATGTCCTCGTGCTCCTGTGACCCCAGGAGCATTGGAGAAACTGAGTCATGCACTCCACAGGAGACCTGAGCCTGAACCTTGGGGCTCTGTCCTCCCAGCGGGGGTGTGGTGGGGACTGGGGTCCCTGGAACCTGTGGATGTGTGACACCCCAGTAGAGATTTTGCGGAGATGATCAGGACTGTAGGGCGTTTAGCTGGACAAGGAGGCACCTGCCTGTCACCCTGGAACTCTGGGAGGCTGAGGCAGGAGGGTCCCAGGTTTGATTCTGGTCTGGGCAATTCAGCAGTTTAGCAACACCTTGTCTCAAAATAAGAAATATAAAAAGGACTGGGGGTGCAGCTCAGTGTGAAGGCCCCTGGGTTCAGTCCCCAGCTCTGGGTGCAGCCCTCTGAAGGTTTTGGTGACTGCTGGCTCTGCGGAGAGTGCAGGGTTCTCTGGTCCAGTTAGGGGACATGTGGCATTTTGACGCTTCAGGTACCCCAAGTCTGTCACAGCTCTTGGGCCCCTGCGGTGAGCTGGGGTCTGGGCCGGCCCAGTGGACCGAGGGTGAACAGGGCTCTGCTGCCCTCTGACAGCGTCCGCGGGGCTCGCGGTCCTCACCCCATGGCAGCTCCGGGGTCGCGCTCTCGATAGGTCTCTGCCACCCCGGCTGTCTAATTGCTTCTTGATGGCAGAGCACAGGTTGTGCCGCTGTCACCCGCCCCAGGCAACGGAACCTGGAGGTGATGTGTGTGTGACAGCGACAAACAGAGACACCTGGGCGCAGGTGTCACCCGGCCCAACCTTGCTCAGGCCACGGGCGGGGCCCAGGCCTCGAAAGTCTGAGCTCAGAGCCCGCAGCGTTGGAGCTGGGCCTTCCGGGTCTCAGTTTCCCCGTCTGTGAAACAGACCCGGTGCAGAGACAGCGTCTTCAGTTTCCTTAGGGGTCAAACTGGCTTTGCTCAGGTCCCACGTATGAACTGGCATGGTGGGTGTGGTGGGGCAGACCTGCGTCCCAACAACGGGAGGCTGAAGCAGGAGGATCCATGTGAGATTGAGACCAGCCTGGACTATGCAGTAAGTTCAAGGCCAGCCTGGACTACGGAGTGAGACTGTCTCAAACAAACAAACAAAACAAAACTGTACTTATTTACTTATTTTTTGGCTTTACTGGGATTGACCCAGGGGCTTTATTTACACTGAACTACATTCTCTACTTTTTTTGTTGTATTTTTTGAGACAGCGTCTTACTATGTAGTTGAGACTGACCTGGAACTCACTACGTGGTCCGGGCTGATCTCAAACTCACAGCGATCCTCCTGCCTCAGCCTCCCCAGTGCTGAGATTACAGGTGTGCTCCTGGATTATTTCATTATTATTTTTTTTAGTACAGGGATTGACCTTGGGACTTTGAGCTTGTGAGGCAGGCAGCAGAACCACTGAGCTACATCCTTGGCCCTGGATTTTTAAATTTTTATTTAAAAATTTTTATTAGTATATGCAGTGCATAATGAACACCGACTGTCCTGGTGGGGAGCTGGGAGCACGCAGTGGCATCGTGGTCCTTTTAACTTTCCTGTCCTCCCTCCGTCCCCACCCCAGCTCACGCCCCTCTCTCTGAAGTCGCCTCCCTTTCCTGTTTCCATCTTGTTTTGCTCTGGAAGTTATTTATAGTTTGCCCTGCTCACCAGAGCGAAATCAGGTGATGCCGAAGCTTGTGTGCCTGATTTACTTCGTGGGACGTTACAGACCCCAGGCGCGTCCGCGTTCCTACCCAGAGTCAAGTCCACCCTCCGGCCTGCCTCGAGCTCCTGCCTCGCGCTGTGCTCACCCTGCACTGTGTGTAAACACTGCATTTCCATCCCAGTCTTCTGTCTGTGCACACAGGGTGCTTCTAAAGTTTATTTCATTTTAATAAACTAGTTAAGAATTTTTTCTTTTGCTCCTTTTTTTGTTTTGTTTTGCTATTTTTGGTACTGGGGATTGAACTTGTGAGGCAGGTGCGGTGCCACTGAGCTAAATCCTGGGCCTCCAGCCCTTTTTTAATTTTTCGTTCTGAGACAGATTCTCACTAAATCACCGTGTAGCCTGGGCTGGGCTGGAACCTGTGGTCCTCCTGCCTCAGCCTCCCACCTGCTGGGTTGACGCGTGTGCCACGATACCCAGTGGTCATAGGGTCTGCGGAAACGCTGGTGACCCTCACAGTGGTGTTCCCCACCCCTCAGCAGAGCCCCTCTGCGCGCCTCCCTGCACTCTGGACTTTTGATTCTGCAGTAACCCTGCCTTGCTGTTCCCGACCATCCTGAAATGCTCTTCTCCAGAGCTGAGGTCCCCCACTCTCTGTGGTCAGATGCTGTCTGGTGACAGTGATATTAAGGCCCCGAGTTGGCCCCAGCGCTGGGTGTGGTGGTGCTCGCCTGTAATCGAAGCCCTCGGGAGGCTGAGGCAGGAGGATCGCTGTGAGTTTGAGACCAGCCTGGGCTACATAGTGAGTTCCAGGTCCGGCTCAACTACATAGTGAGAGACCCTGTCTCAAACAAAACAAAACAAAACACCACCACCACCACCAACAAAATATATAAAAATAAGTACGTAAATAAATGGGCACGAGTCACAGCTCAGTGGTTGAGCGCACCTGGGTTCTATCCAGTACTGTAAAGCGCAGCACAACATAAATCCCCAACGGCGCTCAGTGATTTGGCCAGAACCGGAGCCCATCAGACCTGGGCACGGTCTGGGCCAGGCGGTTTGGTCCCAGAGGCAGCTCCAGGGAAGTTTATTTTGTTTTTTTCTTGAGATAGGGGCTCCCTATGTAGCCCAGACTGGCCTTGAACTCAAGGGGATCTTCCTGCATTCCTGCCTCAGCCTCTCGATTGCTGGATTATACATGGGCCACCATGGCTGGTCTCGGGCATTTAAAAAAGTCTTCTTGCTGTGCGCGGTGTGTAATCTGGCGTTCCAGGGCTGGGGAGGCTGAGGCAGGAGGATCACTGCAGCCAGGGAATTTAGGGCCATCTAGACCCCATCTCAAAGGAAAAAACCCTGGAGTACCAAGGTGGGAATTTGAAATCTTTGCATCACACACTGGGATTTTTTTCCCCCCTTTCCTACAGTGCCAGAGCCTTTGCACAGCGCTATATCCCCAACCCTTTTAACTTTTCATTTCCAGTTCCCAGGCTGGTCTGGAACTTGAGAGGGGTCTAGGGCAGCAGGGTCCTGAGCTGAGTTCCTGGGGTCCCCTCCCCTGCACTCACTGATTCTGTTTCCTGAGGGCAATGTTTGGGCCTGAAGACCTCCCTGTAGAGGACAGAGGGGTCTCAGTGTGGCCCTGGCAGGCTCTTGCCAGATCATCCCAGAAAACCACTCCAGGATCTGGGCGAGGTGGCAAGATGGGGAGGCTGAGACAGGAGGATTGGGCCACAATCTGGAAGGCAGACTCCATTACACGGTGAGACTCTGTCTCAGAAATTCTTGTTTTAAACAAGAGTTGGTTAAGACCGCCTGACAGTCATTCCGTGAATTCTGTATTTATTTATTTACTTAGTCGCTTTGATTCAGGGTCTCTCCACTACCCCGGCTGGCCCCGCGGGGCTGGGGGTGGGGTGGGTGTGGCCCTGTTCCCGGGGGCTCCGCATCCCCCTCCCTGGGCTGTCCCGGGCTCCTGAGAGAGAACCGCTGCCTGACGCACACCTGCCGCCGTGACTTCCTCCACTTCCTGTTTTTAACCCGCGGCTCATCGGGGCTGTAAATGGACCTTGAAGAAGGAGGATTGAAGAGGATTTAAACTGTGCAACGGGCCAGGGACGCGGAGCGCGATCGATGGAACGCTCGTTAATCCCCGAGCGAGGCGGCGCTGACAGCTCTGCTAAGCCAGGCCAGGATCCAGTGCAGGGCCTGGAGCACCTGCCATGCCGGGCGGGGCGCGGAGCCTCCCCGGAATTCCACAAGGCCCACCGCCCCACACTCTGCCCGGCTCCCTCTTGTGCTCCTTTTGTGGTGTGGGGGCCAGGGTCTTGCTACACCCGCAGCCCCAGGCCGTCTTCAGTGCAACAGTCCTGACTGCTGTTCCTTGCACTCTGATGAGTCTTATCCCTTTCTTGGGGTGGAGGGCGCATTTGAGACAGGGTCTATGTAGCCCACACTGGCCTGGAAGGGGGTGATCCTCCTGCCTCAGCCTCCTGAGTGCTGGAATGACAGGAAGGCACCACCACACCCGGCTTTGTAGCAGAGCTTTTGAAAAGATGTTTGTAAGTCTGCAAATTTAAATGTTAATATTTTCTCTAGAATTTTTATTATGTTTACATGTTGCTACGCAGGAATTATC